TGACTTATTGAAAGAACTAAATTTCATTAAAAACTATCCCAAGACACAAACACAGAACTACTGCAGCAAAAGCATGCACAGTTGAATCACGGTCACCCTGCACAACCTCCCTGGATTTTACACGCACACAAGCATGAAAATCGCCTTCTCCTTTTAAGTTAGATTTCTTGACTGACAGACATACATCACAAGGTTTGTTTTCCGAGTCAGCCTGAAAAATCTTAGGGTCTTCACTTGTTAAACACACCTAAAGGTGTAGACAAACTACCTAGACAGTTTGTTGGCCAAAAAATTATTCTGGAGGAGCTCCAGCTTTACCCTAAACAGACATGGCGAATGCCTGAGTAAATACCCCTGTATTTCTATCCTCAACCCTACAATGATGTCTCTCCCCACTCTGCACCCTAAAGCCACATCAATCAAGACAAGTTTGTCCCAGGTATCCATACACAACCATCACGAACTCCAGCCGCAGCCACATTTTCCACAGCCTGAAGCCACATGCTCAGCTACCAAATTCCACACCAGAGACCCCTGAAGTTTATTCTTTCCTGGTGCAAATAGCACATGTTATGTCATTTAACAGGAGAACATTAAAAAAAAAAAACCAACAAAACAACAACAACAAAACAACAAACAAACAAACAAAAAACCCCAACCACACAAAAAACCCCAACAAACAAACCAGAAAGCAAAGCACCAAGGAGGGACTGACTTTATGCATTTCCTAGAGGAATGTTAAACACAGGACCTCCAATCAGGAGGGTCACCTGTGTATGGCATGCTGAACCAGGTGAACCAGGGAAGGGGAAAGAGGTCACTGCACAGCACTGCACATGTGCAAGATGCTGTTCTCTTTGTGGAGCAGTAGTATGTCACAAGGACATGAGATCCAACAGATGCACTTCCATTCTCCCAGTTTTCTTTCAGTCTTCTCCAAATGCTCCTAACATACTATAATCAACAGCTTTCTCTCCTTACTCCACTTGTTCCCTGGAATGTTGAAGGATATATTGTTCCTTTTTATTCCCGCACACCAGGCGCCACAAACCTGGACAGCAGGCTCAAGAGTAAAGATGGCACAACATTAAGAAGCATTGCACTTCGGTTTGCATGCACACAGAAGTATATACGCACATGTATGTACTTACAAAAATAACATAAATATTCCAGTGTTCGAGTAACTGGTCTTTTGAACACAAGTTACAGATCCCTATGTCACCACAAGCATACACGCCTGACTACCAAGCAAGAACTAATTAGATGCCTTTCTATTAAAGTACCTTTCAATCAACAACCTGAAAGCTTTAAAGCACTCATTAGGGAGTACAATGTCACTTCTTTCTGGATGCAGTGGAAGACTTTTCTAAAAATATGCTGATGCCGGAAATACCTATGAACATATCCAGGAGATTTCAATGCTTCCTGTTAATACAGCAACTGCAAATTTCCAGTGAGGTCAATGCAGCAACCACTGTATTCCTGTTCAAAAAAACTGTAGCTGTGTTTCGTGATCATTTTTTTGTCATATATGGGTGCATACATACAAAGTACACATATAAATTCATCACATAAGCAAATGGCTCAACCTTCTATTCTTAATCAACGGCAACACTTCCAAAGAGAAAGAGGCCCAAATATGGAGACTATTTTTGGCATACTCTGAAAAATTCAATTCTTATTTCTGAGGTGTCCAAAATGTTTTAGCTGAAAGATCCTAAAAATCACATTTGTGCTATTATGCAAACAAAAACTTAATATAAGCTAAGAACATAACCAGAAAGAATGGAAGAGGGCCAACACTACAGCTACTGATGTTCTTATTGTCACACTGGACTGCTTTTTTCCAGCAACTCCGTTATGACTGATTCAACCATAGAGATCAGGAGGAAAGGATGAAAGAATGACAGGTTAACTCTGTGGTTACTTACAAGAAATTCCTCCAAAATAAGGAGGTGCTGCAGGGGGAAAAATCCCCAGAAATATTTCCTTGAGAAATACAGTTAAGTGGCTGCACCATACACCAAATTGAACATGAGCCCTTTGATACGGGGAGAGAAATGAGAGCTAATGCAGAGATCAGGCCTGAAGATCCTTGACAGTAAATCCAGGTAGTTTTTGTTTTGATACCACACAGAAGAGGCAGCCATGGAAAGGTGACAGTGTGAGTGGCTCGGGAAAGCAACTTGTGGCAGCTTTTTAAATGAATGAGAAAAGTCACAACCGTGCTTGTCCCAAACCAGAGAAAGAGATTACCAGAAAAATGAAACACAAGATGACCAAAGCTTGGAAAGTGTTTCAGGTTAGAGAGACAGCAATTGAGAGAACATGCAAAATCTTGATGCAGCACTATGAATACATTGAATCTTCTGGGCATGAAATGGAGGACTTGATGCTAAAACACCCATTTAATATTAAATACTTCAGTAATTATTAGCATTACAGCTATGGGACATCTGTTTCCAGTGCTAGATCTCAAGAATATTTTTTAAGGATCACAGCAGCACTGACAGTAGTAATGAAAAGTGAACATGCATCATATTCTCCAGGCTGGATGGTAAGGACCTGAAAAAACAGACATTCAAGTTCAAAGTCCACCAGTCAGGTCAAACTCTGCAAAAGGTTGTCCGGGGGGGGGGGGGGGGAGGTCTCCACCCATGGAGATATTAAAAACAGGACTGGACACAGTCCTGGACAACTTGCTCCAATTGACCCTCCTTGAGCAGGGGGGCTGGACAAGATGATCTCAAGAGGTCTCTTCCAACCTAATTGATGCTGTGATTCTTTCCATGCACAATAATACACATTGCCATTATCCATTACCAACTGAATGCTGCATTTGTTGGGAAGTAAATACATTTAATATAGCACACAAGTTAGTATCACTGCCTATGACCGCTGGAAATTCTTCAAAAATATTGAAAGATACTTTTGGAATATATTTTGGAAATACTGGTTATTCTCCCTAAATTAAACTTTTAAATTAACAGATGAAGGTTGGAAGGAACAGAGATAGTGCATAAGGTAGCTCTTTACCTAATCATCTGCTTAGCTACTGCTAGCTGTCTAATCTGTAACAGGAATCTAAAGAGGAAGAGGGTTCAAGAGAGGAATTTGAAAGGAACTGGATTTACATAGCACTCTATTTCAGACTTTAAATGCTATCTAAAAAGCTCAATCTTATTTTCACATGTGTGCGTACACTGCAGGAAGATAGAAACACCCTTTTTTTTATTATCATAAAGGATTTGACAACTCCATACATGAAGGTTTCACTACCCCCCTCAGATAGAAAGTCTGGTCAGAACTGCATCAGCTGTCAAGCCTATACGGCCAAAGAAACATCCTGCAGAAAGAGTAGATTCATTCTGCTGTCTTTCCCCTCCATTTCCTAGCATAGTCACTGCTAACAAATAGCATAAACCTACCATTCTCCTCCTTTCCTAACCCATGTTGAAACCCAATACTTTGATATTTCCCAGCTGACTTCCTGTTACAATTCCACACTCACTTTTTAATACACATTGACAGCATGTAATTTTTCCAGAGAGTTATAAACACAGACACTATGAGATTCAGATTCCCATATTTTGTTTTCACAGTGCACTACCTTTTCCCATATACTCCCCACTTCCAACTCCGTAAATTGAATAAAAACACTGAACAAGTCTGCTGTGGTAGAAATCGTAAAGAACAATTTGGTTTATGTAACTGTAAGCATGGCAAGGAATGGTTCTCTTACTGAGATGATCTTTATACTATTTTGGTCTCACAACAAATTAGTGGTTTTGAAATTATTATTATTATTACTGAATAGCATTCCTTCCAAAATACCTCAGCTGTTGAACATTTAACTGCTAGTTTGCCTAGAAGGCAGAAAAAAATCCAATTTGACTTCATTTTAAACAAACTTTTTTGTAACAATAACGAAATTGACTACATTTAAAGTATCTGATTTCTTGAAAAACTGAAAGTAAATCTTTTCAAAACCACATTGTCTTGCCTTCTTCGTAATTACTGAATCAAAGAGGGATTTGTATTTCAATACATTAAACTGCAAAAGGTCATCAACATCTGCAAGACAGCTCTTCTAAAGAGACAATCTAAATAGCCTTAAAAGATCTTGCTGAGGCTTAATAACTCATTTATATAGGATATATACAGCCAGTGGCCCCAACTGTCAAATATTCTAGGTGATCAGGCATGTAATAATCTTTCTTATGCCACATACAGAGATGAGGATCTACAACATTCTGTAAGTTACATAAACAAAAACCAAAAAATCCCCAACCCCTTTGTTTTAGGGATATCCCTCTAGAAGCCACAGAAACGATCAAAGGATAAAATTAACCAGAGAAACACAGAATTTTGAGTTTCTTTAGTCTCAAAATCATGCATACAATGAAAGCCTGTGGAAATATCAACTAGTATCATTAATTTGCCAGCTTATTAGCAGGGAAGCTAGCAAGACTACAATACTGATTAGAACAGCTGAATTCTATTTTGTTTAATGATGCTACTAAGAAAAAGCCACTGCAGATGCTTCCTAGACTGTATTAAGGATAGCAGAATACCACCATCTGAACACTCAGCTTTTTTAAAATGGTTTCCATTAAACATACACAGTCAAATCAACTTAGAGATGGCTTGCAGCAATTTAGAACAATTCAACAGAAACCTGTTTGCAACTAACTGCAGCTTTTCTTTAGTATAATTCACCTTTTTAGTGAATTCAAACACTTTTTTCTTTTATGAATCAGCTGTGTCTTTGCCAAATACAGGACCCTAAAATGAACTTTCTCAATTGCACTGCTTTTTATGTAAAACAAAGATCAATAATTGATCAGGACTTCCATGTCGTTCTTATGAAATGAAAAACAAAGTTTAGCAAAAAAAACAAAGTTTAGCAAAAAAAACAAAAAAAACCCCCAAACAGGACTAAATCCTGTTTAAGGTTTGGTCCACACCACTCCAATTTATTGAAAGGAACTACAAAGCACAGATTTCACTCCCGAGTTTACATCCTGTTAGGATTTAAACCTGTGTTTTCAGGCTTTCTGACACTATCTCATTCAGAACAGCCAAATGCAGTAACATACATTAGCGTAAACTGTAACTCTGCTAAGGACCTGCATCAGTATGGCTGCCAACACCTGTGCAGGCAAGGCCTAAGCAGCCATCTTGAGTGACTGTGGGACATACAAAGTCAGGGCCTTAAATTCAATGTGCAAACAAGAGAGGCATGCTTGATTATTTTTTTTTTTTGTCCAGCACAGTTTCAAGGAAAAAAAAAAGTATTTTAAAGCATAAAACTATGAAATATTAATTCCTTTGCATTTCAAAGTTGTATTTAATTTCATCATAAACTAGACCAATTTTTTTTTCTTGGTAATTTCAAATCACATACTCTAACCAGTCTGTTATGTGGCCACATGAGCCTACAAACACTTGCGCTAGAAAAAGGGAGGTGTCAGGTAACCAGGAAAACTGATTCTGGCAGGAGCATCAGTCTATACCTACTAAAATTGACTGAGAAAACATGATTTATGCTTTCTTTAAGCTGTTGGAGTTACCTTACATAAAACTTATACAAAAGCTAAATTGAAACCTCCAGACTTGGATTAGTAACATCTGAATACTTGCAAACTTGTCAATAAAAAAAAAAAAACATTCAGAGACACCTTATATTTTGGAAGGGAAAAGAAGATGACAAACTTCAGCCAAAAACTCCGGTAGCAAGTGAAAAGACTTGCTTCAACGCATTCTTACACACTCTGTCTTTGTCTGGCTATACAATGATCAAATACTCACAATGGACAGCTGACTCCATGTTGATCTCAGGGGCTTATAGTGAAAAACAATCTTTTCATCCAATTTCTGCTCTCGGGGCTCAGACTCTTCATCAGAATCTATGTCCAGAGCTTTTTCTTTATAGTTCTGATATAATACAGCATTTTCTATAAAACAACAACAGTATGTCATTAATTGCTAGAAAGTTAGCTTAGTTGCTTTCATAAAAATTGTAAGTAACATTTAAATAATGAAAGAAACCAAAATGTCAATGTGCTGTTCACAAACTCCAACAGACAAAGATAGTATCTTATTTAGGATGGACAATGGTGCAGTACAGTAACAATGGATCACTGTACCACTACCAAAAAGATCCACACTGACTGAATTAAAGAACAGATGTGTCCTTTGTCAAGAAAAAACAGAAAACAATTTTTTCTTCCTTGGTTTGCTGTACAATGTTTCATAATTAGCCAGCAATTTAAAAATGGAACAAGCGTGTCAGTAGTGCAGAGTCACTAATCTGGAGGTCTAGCTATTTTAATCTACAAGACCATTGTAAATCCACTACCCATGCCAACTTGTATTCTGTCAGCTTTAAATACCACCTTCACACTTCACTAAGAGAAGGAAATGATCCAAATTTCAGAAATTTGAGATCAGAACTATTCTTAATAGAAACTTCAAAGCTTGCTTGAATAAGCATGAGGCCTATGACAAAATACACTCATTATGTGTTACAGTACTGCCAGTATTAATTCAGTAATATCAATGGCAAAGAAACACAGGTGTGGAGCACAGCCTTTCCATTTCCCAACCTCCTTGACCACACACCCTTTTCAAAAGCAGACAGAAAGGACAGAGAAATTCAAGACCAGAATAACCTACAGACAGATTAAGCTGTTAAGAAAGCAAGCTCTAAAAGGTACTTTAGAGATGGGCCAGGCTTTAGACAATATCCAATCTCCCCCTACAAGAGAAAGAGGAAAGAAGTGAAAGGTCTGGCTGCTCCATGCACAGCTGCAACTCCTGTAGTCCTACTCCAGGCTGGGTGGATCTGTTTCACCTGCCCAGACCATACAGACCTGGCTGAGTGTTATACAGGGTCTGGCCTTTTGCATCCGTTCTTTGGAATGTGTCTACATAGTTTTAAGACAGGAAATGGAGTACAGCAACTGAATTGAGAGAGGCATTACAGAGAAAGTTATTAGTTGGGATCAGTCCAAAATAGAAGGGAGCCATTGGAAGAGAATCTGGAAAACGTCATCAGAAGATAGTGTGAGAAAAGATGAAAGTAAGAGTAAGATAGGGGGTGATGCAAATAGAACAACGTGGAAAGTTTTGAAAATAGAAACAAGAGGAAAAGGAAGGTAACGCAGCAGCTGAGATGACCTTAAGGAGGCATTAAGCAGAGAAAAGCCAAGAGAGTAGCAGTTACTATAATGAAACTTCCATGGACTCATAGCCAGGAAAGAATTTTTTTCTTGTTGAAATATTGGGAAAAGCAGCAAACTTGGCGAAGCCCAGAATTAATGAGTAACATAAAAAAGCAGATACATGGATAGTGTTTTTCTGACACTTAAACTTGAAGCCTAGATAGCAAGATTACAAGGTCAAAGAATTTACCCCAGCACCCTTGCCTGATGAGTAAAAGAGAAACAGCTGCATGAACCATAAACTAGAATAACAATTCAGGTGTTTGCTGCAAGTGATGACCCCAAACCCATAAGCTGATCCACAAAAGCTATGTCTTGCACCTGGAAAGAGTCACAGCTGGAAGAACAAGCCTCATTATGTAATTCTACAGAACTGTTAGGGCTGAGATAGACATATCAATCAGTTCATCTTTTAGGAGGGACAGGAGTTTAAGTAAAAAGAAGCCTGTCAAACAAAACCCCACTTTTAGCCTGCCATTCCATATTCTTTAAAATATTCCTTAAAGTATGCCTAGTGACAAAATTATGGTTCCGTATTTTAGTCAGTTTACTGAAAAACAAGGTACTTAGTCTTCAACTACGTAAGAAAGTAGTGTGCAAAATGATCCTGAAGTTCCCTTCTCTTGTGATCAAGCATATTATCAAGTCTGTACAAAAAAGGGCTTACCTTCTCCATCAAACGTCCCTTGTCCTTTCAGCATTTTCTTCTGATTTTTAACAGGAAAGAGATAGATACACATTAAAAGAATGCAAAATACCCAACAGTAACAACTACTTCTGTTTTATTTGATACTTAGGCATCAAATTAACAGGCCCTAATCTATCAACTTCTGATGTTGGAAAAGTATTCATGAAAACAATTGTTTTGTCACAGAAGGTGAAAAGCTACTCTAGTTTTCCTTCTTTCACGCATTGTTTATGCATATTTGTCCCAAATGCTTCATTTTTCCTGTGTTTCAAAAGCATAGTACACTAGCTTTGCAAGAGTTCAGTGACCCTGCAACTCATTTCACTGTCACTAGGCTTTTCTAAGAGAATATAAAGTACATGACTGAGCGGCTGTCTTTTTCCACACGCTCTGCAGAGAACCACCACATCAATTATTCTGTAAACTAACGTTTTGAGGCCAAAACAAACCTCCGAAATAAAACAGCTGTTTTGGTGCAACAAGTCCTATGGTCTAAGAAGTCTATTTAAAAAAATGCTACTAGCAAAAAGAGTTTTGTGTGTAAAGACAGGACAATGTCATGTCCTCCTATTTTAAACATAACTTACTGTTAAAAGTCTACCACCAACACCAAACCAAACCAAACTACCTCCCTACTCAGTAGTAGTTCACAGTGTGATCAATTACTATGCCACCACTTCTAGCATTTTCACAAAAGCTTCCATAACCATAATTTTTAATTTGGCTGAAAACTGTCATAAAGCTGGTAATTATTTTAATAGCTACAGCATTAGCCCTTAGCCTGGAGTACTTTATTACACAATTCCAAACACTCTGCAAAAATCTACCAGTGTATTTTTTTAAAGTAACAAGTTATATTTAAAAAGTAGGAAATACAAGATTAGAATATGATATCTTCAGGTAGCATTATTTTCAGTAAGTCTGTAAAATTTAATTTTAATGCGTTAACATGCAACATAAATCTACTACTCCTAAGGAATTACAATCGAGAATTAAAACCAGGCATTCTGCTTTTACTTGCAGGCATTAAAATTAAGCTACAAAAAGATACATGAGATGGTCTCTATCAATTCAAAAATCACACTATGATTTGTAAAAATACTTGAAAAGTAATGTCTTGGAGGAGTAAGGGAGAAAGTTCATTTTTCTGTCAGTCTGTCTACTGTAGCCCGCAGACTGTATTAAGTCAACGTCTCTCTTTTTCCTGTTTACTACTTTCTGGGAAACAAGTTTTAAAACATCAATTTGATTGTGCAAGAAAACCTCGATGTGCTGGGGAATCCAGCAGGAAACGCAAGCATCAGGCTGCCATCAACACATTCTTGCGCTGCCCAGATTTCAACAGAACAGCGTCCCTGAAGCCTCCACCGCTTTACTTTGAAAACACCACTTGCAAGTGATCTGTGAGACTCAACAATAGCTACGAGAAGTTCTGCGCTAACAAAAAGCAAACTGGAAAATCCCCCGGCGTTTACGGAAAACAGAGGTTACAAATCACGCTCCCGTACAGCCTACCCCATTCGAACCAACGATCAGCACAACTTACCTTTATCCTCCCCAGGCTCGAAAACTTCTCTTTATCTTCAACAACCGCTTTAAGCGCGGGCTGGGACATTCTGTTTTTTTTCTTGAAATTGCAAGAGCCGTCCAAGTCCACGCCGCTCACGACCGCTCTGCGGTAGGACGTCGACCTCAGGCCTCGCCTCAGGGTCCCCGGGCTGTCCAGGTCGCCCTCGGCCTCCTCCTCGGCGTCGGCGACCAGCGGCACGCTGAGGCTCTCCACCATGCTGCGCACCTTCAGCACCCTCTTGCTCGTCGCCGCGTGCTGGCTGCTGGCTTTGCTCGTCGCCTTTATTTCGGAAGCCAGACTCTTGGGAATGAGCTGCTGCGTGCCCACTTTGAGAGCGGCGGGGCTGTTGGTGCTCAGGACCACGGGCTGCTGCTCCACGGGCTGCTCCCGAGGGGACGCCGGCCGCTGCGGCCTCACGCCTTGCTCCGGGGACGCGGCCCGGGGACCCTCGGGGGGCCCCAGCGGCACTTTGTCTGGCATTTTGGGAAGCCGGCTGCATGGCAGGGGCAGCGCCGCCGCGCTGTTGTTGTCCGAGGAAGGCGCGTTTCCAGCAGGCGAGAGCCGAGGGCTGCCTCTGGGAGCGACCTGCTCCTGCTGCGGCGTAAGCGCCGACTGACTGGAAATCCGCAGGGGGTGACCCAGCTGGCCTCCTGCTGAGGTAATGCTGCCGTTGGCAGTGAAGCCGACAGAACTGTTCGAAACCAGAGCGAGCGCCGGGGAGGACCGCTCGGGGGAGACCGCCTCACAGGCTGGAGGCCGTACCTTCCCGTGGGACACCGACCCCATGCTGGAACCGAAAAACGAGGGGCCCCTCCGGAGCGCTCCGCTGGCCGGGCAGGTGCTGACGGTGCCGGCGGGCTGAGTCACGGTGAAGGTGCACCTGTCCTCCACGGGGAAGTCGGTGAAGAGCACGCCGTTGGGGCTCTGGTACGACTGGGGCCGGGGCTTGCTCCAGGCGCGGGGCTGCGGCCGGGGGGTCGACCTCCTCCTCCAGCGCGGCGCCGCCCTGTCGCTGCAGAGATCCGCCTCGCCCTCCCCATCCATCGCCCGCTCCCGGGGGCCGCCGCGAAACCTCAGGGCGGCGGC